GTTTCATATCTTTTTCGCCTAACACAATAGAAACAAATGTCATTGTGATGTTTAAGATAAAAGCCATTGAGCATTAAATGCTGTTTCAATTTTATATAATAGAGTATGACCATTATCTGATATTAAAATGATATCTGTAACAGATCACAGATCACATTCCATATCACAATCAACACTATTCGGTGGTAGCGAACAATCTGAATGGAGCGCTAAAACGTTTTAGAAATATCAGCCCCACACAACAAAGTTAGATGAAGAAAAAATTGTAACAAAGGACGCGTCGACGCTTCTAATCTCAACCAGATCTACAAGTTTGATATAAGACGATTATACAGCGACAAAGAGGCACACTTGCTTTTTTTCTTTTCTATTAACAGTTAATCTTTAAAAAGGTGCACGGATTCTGTAACGTTTGCACCTTTCTTTTGTTTGTTGACAGCAAACAAATCGTTTGTTGGGCAAAATATGAGGGATGCTTGGCCGAAACGTAATGGGGTGCTCAAGGGTTGAATTGAGAGCAGCAGGTTACCGTGTCCTTTCCGGTGTATGGCCTTTGTATTATCTGTACGGAAGTACCAGTTTGAATAATGCTAATGATGCCATTGCAATGGTTGTGATATATAACAAAAGTGTCCGACAGAAATATACATTGGTTTTCACAACTGGTTTGTCCTGGATCGATTAAATTAACAATGAGTGAAGAAAAAAACTGTTGTTTATGCATATGTTATGCGATAAAATCAGTATGAGGTGGAACGGAATAGATAAAAGTTTGACTTCTGCCAATTTATCGGTAGTTATTTTTTTAAATATTCATACTGGTAATAGTTTTAAAATTTGATTATCATAGGAAACAATCTCTTCGATATAAAATATGTACATATTATTTTTTGTATATGGATTTGTAATTTAGTGGAAATTATATGTACATAATTTTCTAGTTTGGTGTTCGGAAATTGTGTGATTTATATATCCAATCGCTTGCAAAGCGTTAATTGTTAAATTAATCTTTCTCTAATTGTTATGTTGGAAATAAACGTATAAATAAGAATCGATTTCATTTTATTTAAATTATACTTATTTCGTTATACACAAGACCTTTAGGTTAGATAGAGTTGTATGTGGCAAATTGATTTATTTGTATTTCCAGTTACGATAAGGATATATGTTTTCAGAATTGTATATTTCAATAAAGAATGTAAAGTAGAGCGAGTAATATTTATATGGAAGATTAAAAATGAGAAAAGAGAAATCAATGTAAGAAATATAGAGCGTAGATAGTCTTAGATCAAATTTATCTATATTATTATCCTACACAATTTTATATTAAGTACTACGGCGGAGTTTCTTTTGAGATCTAGTTTCTAACTACATACCGCATGAGTGTTAGATATTGTTCATTATAAAGTGAATAAATGCCTATTCTTTGTTTAATTTGCTTGGACTAAAAAGTATTTTTTTTTGTAAGTTTGTTGTTTTTTATTGGTACGCCCTTAGGTACTTCTCGTGTTGACAGATAAGCTATGAATATTTCTGTAGCATTTATATTAACAAAAATAGAAATTCGTGTGACTGTCAAATCAATAGATAATCCAAGCATATAAATATCTGGATTATCGTCTACATTACAATCAGATTTTGTTATTGTACGAGTATTAGTGTTGAGAATATTCCGACTTAAAATTGAACAGGTGTACGGAGACTTTTGTGTAATCAGTGACCACAGCGGGTGTCCGGCGCGTTATGAACTCTTCAACCTCTGTGCCCTCCCCAACAGCGCTTCCTTTACGAGCGAGGAAATCACCTCGGCCTTTATGTTATCTTAGTACATTAAACACCTGTTCTATATTTGTGCATGTTTTTGTATATTTAATTCTGCATTTGATTTCTTTATCAGTTTTATATCGTTCTTATTTTAGAGACTGATAGTTTTGCATTGTTTTTAATAGAAATCTTTGTATTAAGTCTTTTACGTGGAATCTTTATGTTTCCTATACCGCTAGTTTCTTACTTTGCAAGCAGTGATATAATTTCAAGGCACAATAAAATGTTGCTGTGAAATTATAGCGTTCCAATATATTTTGTTACAATGTTACATTTTTTTGAGAGCGCGAAAGAATAAAAACTTTCCCATAATTAATATCATATTTGTTACTAATATTAACAAAAATGTGAAAGTTAATCTTTGATATCTTATGTTTGTTACTTAATGCATTAGTGAATGGATTTGTGTTATATTTGGTATCTAAATAGATATTGTATAACTTTTATCATAACTTATACAGGCAGAGCCACGCGTGTTAACATAGAGAACACTGTTCATTTTATACGTATCATAAAAAAAATCTAATTAAATATTAATCAATCAAATGTTAATGACTTGGTAGTAACACATTTTATTAGTACCAAATTTGTCAAACATAAGCAAGGACATAAATTATAGAAAGAGTGCGTCTATATATTATTAACATTTGAATAGGAAGTTTTATGCTCAACATTCATTTGTAAGAAATAAAATCAACACAGATTTTTAGGATGCTATAAATTATTTATATTTTTATGTAACTAGAAAGGCTAACAAGTTGACAGACCACCGCATGGAAAACGTCGGTTGGTAAACGTCGCAGATCACATAAAACCATAGATATTCTGTGAATTAAGAGCATTTATCTTTAAACTGCAACAATTTACTAAGCTTGATGGTAGAAATAGGTGAGCCAGAGTTATCTACGCAGACAAGTCTATACAGAGAGTATAACAGTAAAATAAATTTTGTTTGTTACGTAACCGTAATGTGCTCATAGTTCGACCCATCAATAAAATGTATTCACACACTTTATAATTCTCAATATGCTTTTGAAGACGAACATTGTCGTATACATCATAAACTGGCGTCCAAGGCTCATTTGCTTTAAACACGGCCTTGACACGAGCAATAGTTAACATTTACACATTTGTTTCAAAATTTGAATCGTTTAAAACAATAGCGTTTAATTTTTTATACTACAATCATTTGTTCACTGAAGAACTATTTGTAAAGAAAAATATAATGTCTGGACTATGGAAAGCTATTAGTAGTTTTTTTTAATTTTTTTATGCCTAATTCTAATTCCAACGGTATACCTACGTATATTTATTATATATATATATTATGTTTTGTGGTAAGTATTGTAGTACTCTACTAGTAGATTCGTTCTCTCCGTTGAACATTAATCTAGAATGCGATATTTTAGTATAAAAATTTTTAAATTTTAGCAGCCGCAGCGGGTTTGAGTAATAAATAACTATCCTGAATAGCCAAATATAATGATAATCTAACATTATAATATTTAAAATTAGTATAATAGATATCGTATACACTAATAGTTCAATTATTTTATTTCTTAGAGCTGTATACAATAACCAGTTGGCTCATTGACGCTTACAAAGACCCTATACGAGGTCAAATCAGAATCATAGTCGTCTATATCATCAATCAAGTAGCTGTCTCTAAAACAATAAGCGACTTTATTAATTCCAGCGTAATAATAAGCTATTACAACTAGTAATTTTATATTAAGTTCAATCGTCAACATACTTAGACGAGTGCCCTTGGCGAGTCCGTCTAATGACTCGCCATGATTAATGGTACCACTAATTACACTTGTGACAATCAATGTATCTTTATTGAGCTTTTTGTACTGGCCACTTATATTATTATTAGAGATTTTTACGTTATTAATGAACGAATTTATTAGTCGTGTGAAGTTAATGATGTCGCATGATCATGATATAATATAGTAACTATTTTGTCAAAACAAACCTTGGTAGGTTCAGTTGAAAGTGAATGAAGATAAAAATGTAATATATATACATGAGAAGCCTGTAGCAACATTAAAAAGCTGTCCGGTTAAATTCAGTAAGTACCTAGTTGTAATTTTACAGATATTTTATCAGTTACTGGATTGTTTGATTGAAAGAAGGAACCTATCATTGGCCTCATATATATCCCAATTAGCTATACTACCTGAGTTGGATCTTAATAAATTTGCTTTTGCTAATCAGAAGAGAAGTTAATAACAACAAAAATTGCTAAAAGCTAATTACTACTTAAAGAGAAATATTCAACTAGTCGGAAATTATACATTTACAGTTTCACCAAGTGCCAAATACATTTTTCATGTTAGTGAGTGTCCTTTTAATCAATAAATTTAAATTTAAAGACTTGCCTAGAAAAATCGTCTTTTTAAGAGTGATATATTGAACAAATACTATTTAAGAATGTCAGCTCTACAACTTGAAAGAAAGAATTAAGTAATATTCAGAAAGTTTATACCATTATACATACTACTGGTGTAAAATTTGTTGATCTATAAATTCTATTACGGTTTCTCTACCAATAACGTATTTACTTGAAGAATATGACTTCATAAACATCAAAACTACATAAATTGGTTATATTTATTAAGACGTACTCTACAGAGTATACTCGTATACTTGATAGTATTATAAAATGGAGTATATTATAGAAAATTATATTAAAATTTTATTATAATGTAATGCATTCAAATCGAAATTATATTTATATAATATGTCGTAAATTATTGTCAATGTACAAAGCATATTAGACTCCCTTTTGTAAGACAGCGTGAAGATGTAATAACATTACTATAAGAACCGCTTTGTCGACACTTAAATTCCAAGAAGCAATTAAAGTAGCAATAACGAAAGATTTTAAGCACGTTCGCTGAGTAATGTCGAGGCTGTAATATTAAAACTTATATTACATAGTACTTACAGAGTAGCGTAAAGTACCGGCGAACAAAAAGAAAACTTTAATAACACGGGTTTTAAATGTCTCAATATAGGCATGGACGTTAGTGTTGGTTAGTTTATCCATATATTTAAGTAGAACAGAGCAAAATTTTAGTTTGTTATTACAGTTTAAAATTTTTTATGTTTGGAAATTTCAAGGGATCATTCTTGGCCCTTTGCTTTATTTAATATATCACTGAACTCACCTTCTCTCCTCATGCCCATTTTGAGACATTTCCTCAGTCGGCAGTATTGGCACTGGTTTCTATGATGCTGATCGATTGGGCAGTTCCTATTGCCCCTGCACGAGTATGTCAGGTTTCTCCTCACGGACCTCTTGAAAAATGATTTGCAACCTGTGGGAGAGATTTTGTTATATGAAATGTATGGTGATTCCATTTTGATGATTTTGGTCTTTGTTGAATTACGAAAGGATTTTCCCGTAAATTACTACTATTGTAATAACATAGAAACGAAAAAAGAATATATAATTTAGCGCAACTTAAAAAAAATATTCCTATATCAACAAAAAACGCAAAATCGTATATTCATAATTAAATTGATAAATATTTTTAACTGCTTTGTTCATCTATTGAAATAGTTTATAGACAGTAGTAATCACTTGTTAGTTAAGCTTGTTAATACATTTAATGCTATTAACATAATCCCATATATCAATGGCTACTCGATATCAATAATTTGACGATTCGTATGGAAGCATCAAATCGAAATGAATCTATGGAACAGTTAAAATACCAACTTAATGATCTAAAGACAGTTAAAACCACTATCATGAATATATTAAACGTAAACATTAGAATAAGAAACAATTTTAGTTAAACAACGGACTTAGAAACGTGTTAATGTTTAAACATTTTCATGTTTATTTCGAAGGCGATAAGATTCAAATTAGTATATTAAGAAATTCACTGAGAGCAAATTAAATTTGGCGGAATGTGAAAAAAATTTGATTATCGTTAGAAAAATTATAGCATAAGAATCGCAGTAAATTACTTAGTAATGCCAATGGATGTCATTTAAATGTAATCATTTATAGAAGGTTGTCATGGTTAAAATAAGGTGCCTCAGTCGTTTTTACTAATAAAATCTTAATTTCGTAGTCTCCCAAATAAGACCTTACAAATTGGTCTGATAATTGAGAAAATATATCTCTAACTTGTGGGTGGTAGAATTGTAGAAATATAGGAAACGCGATGATATATATATATTATTGCTTTATATAATTTAAAAATTTAAATGATATGCATATCACGGGACAGCATGATTAGAGTAGCATGTTTTACATTAAGCTTCCCACTTGCATGCTTGTCTCTCGTTAGCTTACACGATTAATGTACGTACAATAGTAATATTTTGAATTTTCATAAATTATATGTGAATATTACAAATTGGTTAGCATGTTGCTTCATTTAATTATAATATTCAGAAGTTAAATTCCGATTTATGAGGCGTAGTCACGACTGTTAGACTACTTGACAATAAGTATTTCGAAAAAGCAGTAAAAGTTAACGGCGATATGTTTCTAATGCCTTCTATTATTTATTATTTTTATGCTTAAAATTAGATTTTGATAAAATAAATTTTAAGTGTTAGAAGCAAATTAGATTTATTATATTACATAAGCAATATAAATTAGCTATTTGTTAACTGATTGGACAGATTCTATTACGAAGACATAAATATTTATTTATTCTTAATTATTAAATAAAAAGACATTACCATTTTTTTATAAGTAAATTAATTACTATGTTCTAATAAGCAGGATAACTTTATGTGCACATAGGCCATCTATCGTATGATAAATAGATGCTAAAATTAGTGCAAGTCCAAAAATATAATATTTCTATATAAAGTGGCACCCTATTCTATGTTTTATCCTAAAAAAACAGACGAAGGCGCAGAATACAGTTAATATATTAATATTTTACTAATCATAGAAATATAAATTTGATTTGACTAATGATTAATATATATTTATTATTTACATGTATATTTTTTGTTAGTACCTAGTACCTACCTAGTATTAGGTTTTAAACTTTCATAAAAATAATTTTGTATTTCTTTTATCATCCAAATGCGGGATTAAACTCTTGAACATTAATATTCAAGAGATCGCACATTATTAATTTAAACAGAACAATTGTATTCAAAATCAATACCTAGATTATTTAGTTTTATTCAATATCGGATTCTCAAATAAGAATGTTTACAAAAGGCAGGTGAATTTGGTCACAAAAGCAAAATATTTTCGTATTTTCTTCGCCTTTCTTACGATACCGTTAGCTAAGCTTCGCTCGCGTAGCCACTGAGATAAGGTAGACTACACATACCCACTGTGACTTGTTGCATACGGAGCGGTTGAAACGCTGTACTTGTTTGTGTAAATTTATATTATAGCTGTTACTTCCGACTTCGCGTGGAAATAAAATATCCAAAATAAATGTAGCCTAAGTACATATTGAACTTTTTCTATTAAATCAATTACGTGACCACACAGTTTAAGGGTTTCATTTAAATATTTCATCTTAAATCTCTGTCTTGCTTTTTTTAGAAAATGTATATTATACGACTAACACGATTTTTTATGTACACAAGGTTTTTACGGGTATTTTATCCGTAAAATCATGACGAGGCAAAACTACCCGTTTTTATGTTTGTGTGTTAACGTTTCACGTGAAAATGTCTCTAGAAGTATAAAATAAATATTTCGTACATTATGTTGTTAAATATGGTTCAACATATAAGCCATACAAAACATATATCATCAGTGAGTAGAAAATAATAAATTTAATGAATAGTGTCAAAACACCACACAGAATTTCTTTCATTCCTTAAATATTATAACTCGCATTGTCATTTACCAAGCAATCCGATTATAGACTTACTGATTGAGAACATCGAAAGATAAAAAAAAATGTACTATAAAAGTATAATACTATACATAACACACATAAAGAACTGTGCAAACATTTCAGAGGTAGCGTTACAACCGCGGCGTTCCCCGGTCTGCGCAGAGCGCCCTACCCGGGGCCATAGTCTCCCAATTACCACTATCGTTGGGAACATCAACTCTTGCAAATTGTATTCCACAGATGATAGCGAGTGCATTGACATCGCGCGGGTATGAAGTGAAACTCTGAACAATGGCAGGGATGAAGATACGAGTAATACAGACTCCAACAATGAATACTATATTTATGTATAGAAATATTGTCTCATTGTATTTATTTAAAAAAATATTAAGAAAAAGGAACAAGTGTACATTCAGTTGCCTGGAGGAGATGTCCGAAAAACACGTTTTTTTTCGGACTACTCTAATGCTGTTGTCCGCAGCTGGACTTTACAGCTTCACCGGACGATGGGGGGCGTGCAGATGACACTGAAAACCTACGGAATGACTTACGGAGTGGCTGAAGGCCAACTCCTGCTTGACGGATACGACTTTAGTCTGAGGGCACCGCTAAGGGTTGAAACTCGGCTTAGGTCGTCATAATTTCGATCCCCGTTTTAATAAGACGGGGTATCGATAGGTATGGGGGCCCCTTCATGTGTTATTATTTTGGAGGACTAAGACATCATGCCTATAGATACTAGAAACAGCTTATAAAGCAAGTAAGCTTTGTAAGTAATTTTTGTCTCTTTATTTGTGTCATTCGATATTCAATGTGTTATGGCAAACCTCATTTAAAATTTACTACTTGTTTTAACAAAAAAATAATTAAGTCGCGAGCTCAACAAACATTTATTGTGCAAATTCTTTATTTACAAACAAAATAAAGGAGATGGTCTAAGACCAAGTGCGGTAAGTTGCCCGAACCAGTTGCCTCAACATAACGCCATTTTAAATAAATAAAAAACAAATGTCATCGACGTGATTCTCGCGTACTACGTTTATTGGCCGAGTAGATGGTAATATCAGTAAATTGCAGGTGATACACAGCCGGTCACACTGACCCACTTAGCAGGTGCAACGTCACTAATTGTTTAATTATTGTAAACACAGACATTTTTATTATATAACTAGCTAACGCGGCAAATGTAGGTCCCTGCAAACCTACATTTGCCATTTGGAAGGGGATTGTTAGTAATATAGACTCATGATCCCATTACTAGCAATGTATCATGTTAGGTTGACCTCCACGCGGTTCCCCCTAGACACCATCGTGATAAATTCCTGGTGAATTTGTCACGATGGGCTAACTGACCTGACTTCATGTTCATCTTATCATCCTCCACTGGTGCCCCGCCAGCGTAAACCGTTAGAGCAGGCGGGTGCACCATTCATACTCGTAAGCGTGTGCTGCTTGTGGAGAGTGGTCTGTTCGGGTTACGAACACTGATTAAACTATTTGCTTTTGCGATAACATATGCTGGTCACCTCTATTCTCCAAATTTTGAATTTAGAAATTAATCTGTATTATTGTAAACATAACAATATTTATTTGAACAGAATACAAATTGAGTTTCTTGTCAGTTCTTTTCATCTCAATTTCTCTATTAGTAGTGAACTACGTAACTACGTAAATAGTTTTTTACAGTATTTTGTCTTTAATATCATCACGCCAGGTTTTTAGGGGTAAGCAGAGAGTACCGAGTGCTTTAACTTATATTCTCGCCCACATGCTCCATTCACTTTCACAATTCATATCCTGCATATTTACATGTTAGATCTTTAATATTACAAATTATGTCATAATTCCCAGACATCGCAACAACAGACAGACTTACGACCATCGTAAAGTTTGCATTATGTAAGCGAGATGACAACGCACAGACAGGCGAACTGTTTAATTTGACTCTATTCAAGATAGCTACATATAGCAAATTAAAGACAAAATGGGAGTCGTATCGTAACAATATTTAAAGAGCATGAAGGAAGATCGTAAACTGGCAAGAGCTCATCGTGGAAAGTGGCAAGAGCTCCACCGACAAGAGCGTATAGTTCTTAAATTATGAATGAATGAAGACATTCAAATTTGGATGTGAATTTATTTTATGCCAAATCTGCAGTTACTTTTTTGTACTGTATATAGGTAGTTAATTGAAATTGCAAAACAAGATTGATTGATAGACCACTAGATGGAAAGTATAGTAAAGATTCGATAGACGGACTAGGTGGTCTAGTGGTATTGCACACCGCCTTACTTCCGCTCGCGGATTCGATTCCTAATACATTTGTATTGATGAGTATGATTGTTTGTATTAGTCTGGGTATTTTATATGTATATTATATATGTATTTACGATAAAAAATATATTTAAGTATTCTATCAGTAGTTTAGTTACTACCTATAACACGCGCTCTGTCTGTGTGAATTGTCCTAGGTCGTTATAGT